TAGCAGCACCAGTGAAAGGCAAGGTTGATCTGCTATGATGTTTGGTTTGGAGATTGTGGCACTGACAAAAATACAATAGGCAGAGGTGAAGATGTTGGAATTTTCATTGGAGTGATTAGAATAGCGACAGCTCAGGTTCAGGAGTTTGGAGCTAAAGACAGGGCAGGCTGAGATTGTCTGGACATGTGCAGAGGAGAGATCTTTGATGCACTGGACAAAGGATGTTAAATATGTAGCTGCCAGGCAGCAGGAAAACAGGAAGTGAAGAAGCACATGCAGAGGTGTGGTGTTACAGAAGAAGATGTCAGAGATAGGGTGAGATGGAGGCAGATGATCCCTAAAGCAATCCGTAAAGGGAGCAGCAGATCAGAAAAACAATCACCCAAAGACACTATGTTGTTAGGTAATAACCCTACAATAATACAGAGGAAACCCCAAATGTCAAATGACCCCAAATGCCAAGCACTTGGCAGCAGTGGGAGGGAAAAACTTCCTTTTAACAGGAAAGAAACCTCCAGCTGTTGACTAAGCAGACCTGGGTGGTTTTGAATTTTTGTTTTGTTTCTCTTTCTTCTTCCTTTCTCTCTGACATTTTCTCAGGTGAAGTTGCGGGTCTAGTTCTGGTCTCTCTGCCTGAGGCTGGTGTCTGTCAGTGTTAGGTTCCCTCCGTTTGTGTCATCTGGCTCAAGAATCAACTTACCTGCAATCTGGTAACAACTCAAGTTGTTGTGGTTCACGTTCGCACCTCCAAATGTCTGTGACCCACTCTCAGGATGTCTGCCCACTTCACAGTCTCAAGAAATGAGTTGATCTGGTTCTATTTACATATCATCCTGCTTTATTCACCTCCTGGACAGCCAATTAACTCTCATTCTCTCCCCTGACAGAGCTCAGTGATCCCATTTGCATTGAAGCCGTTCTTCTTTCCCAGCTACAGTCCTTCATCTGCTCAGTTTCTTTGCAATAAAGTTTACTTAATCAAAAGCCACTGCTTGTTGAGTCTGCTCTTTTACATTATGACTCCAGCAGAACGAAGCTTGGGGAGGGGCAGCCATCTGTCGCACCATTTGGGAGTGAGGGGAGGGAGACAGGACAAAGACACATTGTGGAAGAGAGCCAGAGTGAAAAGAGGTGAGTGAAGGAGACTCAGTGCATTATGGGAATCCCCCACCAGCCTAGGCCTATTGCAGCATAAGTAAGAGAGGATTCAAGGTCACCTGATGTAGCCCTAACTATAAACTTTATCAAAAGTCAAGTTTTAGGTCTAATCTTAAAAGCAGAGAGGGTGTCTGTCTCTTGAATCCAAACTGGGAGCTGGTTCCACAGACAAGGGGCCTGAAAGCTGAAGGCTCTGCCTCCCATTCTACTTTTAAATACCACAAGTAAGCCACCGAGTTAGAGCGGAGTCCTTCACAGTGGTGATATGGCACTATCAGGTCTTTAAGATATGATGGAAAGAAGATTAAACAGGTGGTGATCTCATCTCTGTCATAGTCCTCTGATGTAGTACACGTTGCAATTACAGGTTCACTGGTTTTATTACCATTTAAACAGCAACAACCTGCAGTATGAAGTATATCTCTCCTCTGTAAAATTTAAAGACTAGACAACTGAAACATTGATTAAAATACTACTAATTACAGATTTGAGGTAAAATATTAACACTGATTCTTTGCACTTCTTTGGTGTATGTGCAAAAAGCATAGATAACTACATTCAGGGACATAATTTCTTTTTTAAAGGTTAGTGAGTTTAAGGCTGTAGTTTAAATTAAATAAAGTCTTGCTTGTGTTTATAATGTAGCACTAAAATCCCTGATATGATGCATTTTATTGATGGAGAGTTTCAAATTGGTTGTTTTACTGACAAAACATTTCGCAGTGCAAACAACACGAGAGCAAGCAAAAAGGAGCAAACATCGGACAAACATGTCAAAGAGTCAAGTGCAAGGATGAATAAAGCATTCATTGTACGGACCGCCAGTTGGGCCAAACTCCTGCACGGGCACGGAAAAAGTTTGCGAGTTTGGAGAAACTTCCTCTTTTGCTTGAATCTTTTGAAGCCATGACATAAAAGCTACTTTTGAAACGTGCCCGGGGGAGAGAACCTCCAATAGTCTTCCACTCCCAGCGATCAACTGGTCTGGGAGGAGTCTCACCGGTGGGAAAGCCCTGCCTCGCAGGAGTCGCCCCGACGCTTCCGTCTCCGTTTATTGTGACAGCGGCTGCTGCAGGGTCACACACCGCCGGGACGACACTGAACCCGGGCCTGGAGTCCGCGCAGAGTCCGCTCTGTTTGCCGATCGGCGGTGGAGGGTGCACGCAGCTGGAGACGGGGGGGAGGTTTGGGTGGAGTTTTTTTGTCCGATCCGAGGACGGGAAGGAGACTCGCATCAACGGTTTCACCGGGAGGAGATAAAGCCGTCGGTGCACAGAGAAAAGGAGAGGAGGCGAGTTCAGCAGCAAAGTGAGGAGGTACGAAGTTAAAACGAGGGCAAGCTGAGGGACAAAAGAGCCATTGTCTCGTCCTGCTCTGTTGTGATCTGTCCAGTTTTATATTAACCTCTAACTTATTATCCCCTGTCTTCAAAAAGCGTCCTATTTATCTTCTCCCCTGTCCATAAGCGTGAAATGTGGACTCTGCGGATTAATAAAAAGTGAAATGCAGCCTACTTTCCTCATTTCCTCATAAGCCGCTGGAGGTTTACACAGAATTAAGTCATCCAGGTAGCTGCAGTGCAACAGCGATGTTATTACAGCCCGCGTACACAGAGGGCTCAGTGCTGGGAGGCTGGAAGAGACAAACTGCTGCTCTTTTTCCAGCCCTGTGAAGACTTTCATAAAAGACCAGAAAAAAAGCACGCTTACAACCTGTTTAGTGCTTTGTCTGCGTGGCTCTGTAGGAACTACAGCTAATAAATAATGCTTGAGAGGGCAGGGACACTTTTACAAGTGTGCCTAATGCACTGGTTGCACAACAGCATGCACGCACTGCCAGTCACTGTCATTAAAACCAACTTGAAATCCTTCCAGTAACACAAAGGCATTAGCCTGTAACCGTAAAAACTTGTTTGTCGAAGAAAGAAAGAAACACTTCAGGGAGAATAAAGGTTTTAACCTAAAAAAAAGAAGCAAAATTAAATGTGATGCAAGAACAACTCACTTTATGTTCAAACTATTTAGTCCAAACATTCAGAGTGCATCTCTCTTTCACACCTACTCCCTACCTAAGGCTTTGGTTTAAGGGTTTTTTACTGTGTCTTTATTATTTGGCACTTTTGTTTTGACTTGAGTGTGTATTGATTTTAAACTTCACCATCGCATGCTTTTTCCCTCGCTTCGTTCAAAGTGAGTCACCGTTCAGAAATAGCACGACATGTGGTTATAATTTGAAGAGTAGTGGGAATGTTAGTGCCATTTTCCCCCTGCGCTGGGTCTGTGCATGTGCATGTGTGCTTCCCATTATAGCTTTAATCTTGTCACACACTGGCCTTAAGGCCAAGGCTGTGTGCCATTCATTAATTTGTTTGCACTGCTGTGTGTGGTATAGAAAACGGGGGTCTGGTTACAGAGGTGTTGTTATGTATGCGTGAGGTTTAGTGTGTATGAAGTGGAAATATTTTGATGCCATCGCTGCTGGGTTTTCCATACAGGATGACTGCAGGCCTTTAAGGCGGTTGGAAAGATGGCGGGGATCTCAGTGGACCAGTTTTTCTAGCAGTACTGCTGCATTAAAACCCCAGCTACACACACAACACAAAGGGGAGGATGCAAGCCGCCGTGTGTTCTCACATACTGTATGAATTCATTTAAGCTGTCTTTTGTGCAGCGTTCAACAGCCACGCTGAGGTGTGATGATATACAGGGAGACAACCAGCGCCGTGTGTGTGTGTGTGCACATATCTACATCTCTGTAGGTTCATCTGACAAAAAAAATGTCACTGAAAGGTTCTGACGGGAGCATCTGGAGATTACTGGCTCATCTCTCCAAACCTGTTTTTAAGTATTGTTTTCTCAACCTGGGTTCACACACCGAATTATCACACAGCACGAACCGGCCAATGGTATGCCGGATCAATTGGAGTGTTTGTTTAGTGAGGTGTGTTCGGATGCGAACGAGAGAAAACAGAAAGAGGCGGCGAGGATGTAGTTTGTGTTTTTTTTCTTGATAGTTTGTGTCCTCGGGCTCGCTTCTAACGCATCTCATGATTCACATGTCAGGACAGATGTAATTTACACTCCCTCTGCTCTTCACCTTCCAGTTTCTCTCCTTCTTTTCAGCATTTGCGCAGGAATGCTGAGAATGGGCCGTTTGTACGCTTCGTGAGCAGACGCTGTGCACGTCTGAATATTTGGTTTATCGGCTCAGAGACGCCGAAGTCTTGCTGCTGCCTTCATGTCCTGTCTGCCAGGGTTTAGTGTTTCAAACCGGCCTTTGTTTATATGGTACATTTAGGGCAGCCTCGTCCTCCTGTGGGCCTCTGAAAGCTTCACAACAAAGGTAGTAAAGACAGGGATCCTGATCATCATGAGACACTTTCTGCAGTTTGATGCTCGCTGCAGTTGCTATAACAGCAAACAAAGCAGCAGTATTTGTTTGAATATCCTACCAGTAGGCCAGGTGAGGCGGGGAAAGTCTGTCATGCTTCTGACATTGTGTTATTCATCTGTTGCCCCACTCTACGGTGACACAGTGATGACGAGGATGCAAAGGAAACCCCCATCCCCCTCTACCCGCCTTGGCTCTTTTAAATGCCACCATGCTTCTGAATTAACCAATTAGGTCATTTCCTCCCCAGGCTGCCTTCCTTCAAGCTGCTGTCAACGCTTTTGATAATCACTTGATTACAAAAACAGTAACACTACCAAAAATACTTCTTGTTAGTTATTTTTGCTACATTTCTTTCTCAAACGTGACAGTGAACTTATTGCTTGTTCCTACAGATTGGGTTTGTTCAGCTTGCACTCTATAATACAACTTTCCATTCACGAGGGAATTAACTCTGACTTTTGGACTGTTGTGTTGCTACATGTGAGTTTTTCTCTTATTTTGCGTCTGTCATCGGTTATGCACTTCATTTGCAGCTTCAGTGCAGTACACCTATGTACACAATGGGCACCGTGGTGCTGCAAATGACTTAGATACAAAGAGCAAAACTAGGCAAATCAAATGACTTGGAATTCAGGGGGCAAAATAATTCCATGCAACAAGCATGTGTGCCCCGGCATTCCTCCCTGACCACCGTGGAGCATGGAAAGCCAACGGCTTGCCACAAAGCCCTAATTTCAATGGCTCCACATGAATAGGGAAACAGGATGTCAGCCATTTTGTCAGCAGATGAATCACCATCTCGGCAGTCTGTTGCAAGTTATCCCCAGGCCACGCCAACCAGGCTACTCGATGACTCACCAGGTCGCTGAGTAAACCGGGTTGTCCCACTGATTGTGGGTTAGGACTTTCAGCCCTTAGCTATCACCATCATTAATCTCTCAAGTGTGCTTGGAAGTTTGCAGAGAACATGTCAAACACACACTTGTAAAGCAGGCACAGCCTCACTAAATACTTACCCACCCTACCTGTCAGACCCCGGGTTACACACACGCCCTAATTTGCTCAGACTGTAGGTGTATCCACTTCTTCTTTCGACCACATGCTACATAAGAAAATAAGCCACGTATGTTTCCTAACATTGCCAGCTTACTGTAAATACTTAAGCAGCGTGGTGGTTGTTCACTCTTTTCTCCACCAGAATGCAAACCCTCCAGCATGCAGCTGTCAGGACCACATCAAACATCGCTCAGTGGGTGCTCTGGTTGGCTCAGTGATGGTTCATGATATGCAAGTGTGCTGTGGGTTGGAATCAAGCCTGGGATTTTCATTGTTTCTTTATCTAATGCCAAAAAAACCCCTCAAAAGCCAAATTAGGTTTTTAGTAAAGTATCTACTTTACCTTTCGAAAGCAGGTACATGGATGTACAAAAGTGGCCAACTAAACACTCCACTGTTTTATTTGGACATCATTTACAATCAGCAGTAATAGATGAAAAGTTAATGGGTTTGTTTGTTTGCTGGACGACACTGTGGTCGAGTGGCTGTCTCATTATTAGCTATTTACCAACATACAAGTATCATTAATTACAACAGCTGACAAGTGAAAAGTAAAGAAGAGATGGGAGAGACCATCAACCACAGTGTGAGTGTTGATGTTGCGTAGTTGGTCCATTCTGTTACTTCCCTGTTGGGAGCTCGTGTTTGGAGCTCCACAAGCAACCAGCTGATCCAAGCAGAGTTGGACGGAGCATAAACGACTATGACAATGAAACAAGATTATTTTTAAATTGCACACACACACCCTTAATGGTGAGTTTTGACATCTTGGTATATATTAATAAGGATGGTTTGATGACCTATAGTTCGGTAGCGGCCACCATGACTAACTAATGCAAATCCAGTTATTTGTTTTATAAGCAGGCCTGAAATATGACAGAAACCACTCCGCTCAGACTTCAAAGAGCTTTAAGGGTTCAACGGCTTTTCTTAGTAAGCTGTCATGTGTTAAAGAGTTTAACTGACAAATATCAGTACTGGTTGGGCTCCAGTTAGCATTGTTGACTCACTGCAAGAAGTTTCCTGGTTTCAGTCCCGTGGGGACCTTTCTGTGTGTAGTTTATGTTTTCCCTGTGCTTTTGGTAGGTTTCCTCCAGGAACTACAGCTTCCTCCAACAGTTCAAACACGTCTATGTGATTCTAAACTGCTTGTGTGCAGGATGTCAGGCAGAAAACGTGCCGTAAGAAAGGATGGTTTGCTTGATGAGATTAGAAAAGTGCTATATATTACATTTTACAGCTCAAATTATGTGAACATTTATGTTGGTTTTCGGTGCTTCTTTAGCCGATGTGGTTTAGCTGTTTTTAGCCTCTCACCAGCTGCTTTTCCTAACCGTGTTTTATCTGATGACTGTATTCATCCGCGTATGAAACTAGAAGGCCACACAGAGAAATAACACTGAGGCTAAACCTTTGTTTTATCTTGTTTTTTTTTTTTAGACAGAGCTCGAGATCACCATCACGTCATTTTCACATTTTTGAAAGCTTCATGAGATTGTTTGTGTGTTTGTGTAGGTGTGTTACCCTTGCTGATAGATGAACAATCAAACCTGCGTCTTAGTCACGCCAAAGTCACCTCTTAAAGTTTGGCATGTGAATCATAAATGTCACTATCTCGTTCTCGTTGAAACAGGCGTATATTCACACAGTGTTATGTAACAGCGGACCTGTGACTTCTTTAAGTCATGCCCATCTAAATAAGTTTGGTTGCCATGACCGGCAGATTTTTCAGGATAAGGTCTAAGCAGCAACATGAATTATGACGCACCAGCGTGGCAAGTTTACTGTGATATGAAAGAACCTGTCTCTACAACTCCTCACGCCTCTCCCACCTCTCCTCTTGCTCTCTTTAATCTCGTCTCCTCCCTTTGCTTTTTCTGTATCCAGCTGTTCCACTTTGTTCTCACCTTTATATACAGTCTTTCAATAAGCCGCACTGAAGGTTGATTAATCGCTGGTATTATTAGAGTGAAGTCTTTTCATTTAATTCAATTAATCATACTTGAGAAATATGATACTTTTACCTGTTCTACGTTTAAGTTGAAGGAGTTGCTCTCTCATAGCACCATTCTTTTATGCATGCTTTCTTCAGTATTACTCATTACTACCTGCAATCCCACACAATGTCAAAAAGTATTGTTAGTTTCATAAAAGTATTCTAATTGTGTAGGCAAGCAATAAATATCTGTTACAGTTGTTAACATTGAGACAAATTTGCCTGTTAAACTGTTACTTGCTGCTAAGCCGCCGTTGACTCAGCGACAATAGTTGCTTTGTGTGCGTGGTTAAAGGTAACGTCTGTTTGTGTGTCCAGACACAAAGGTCTTTTCCTCTCAACACCCAAGGGGATATTTTGTTGAATCATAAGTATTGCGTCTCATGGATGGGGGAGTGGTGTGATATTTACAGTATGTGCAAATAGAGTACAAAACCAGCTGTGATGACGTTAATTATTAATTATTGTGGGACCTCATTTTATATTTTCCTTTTCCTTGCAGGTTTAAATTCCACCTTCCTCACCTTTTCTTACTCCTGAGCCTTAAACTTTGACCTGACCCCCTCCAACCATGCCGCACCGGTCTCAGAGTTCATCGATAGGCGATAACCCTCTCGACCCAAATTACCTTCCTCCGCACTACCGTGAGGAGTATCGTCTAGCCATTGATGCTCTGATAGAAAACGACACTCAGGTAAGCGTTGCTCTAATGCATGAAAACACATACACACAGCTTTTACGATCTCCTAAACTTTTCTGTCTCTTCGCACACCAGGGCTACTATGAATTCCTCCAGAATGCAGATATGGCCGGTTTTCTGGCACAGCCAGAAATTGAACACATCAAGTCGACAATTCAGGGGCCTAGCCAGCCCACCAGCGTCCCGGAGCTGACGTACCACGAGGGAGGCGTCGAGGACGATGGGTCTTCGGACACCTACTGGCCAGTTCAGTCGGACCTGGCTGCCCCGGGGCTGGATCTGGGCTGGCCGCAGCACAGTTTCGTTGATCCCACAGAGGTCACAACTCTAGTCAACCCCTCTGATCCTGACATGCCGAGCATAAAGGAGCAGGCGAGGAGACTCATCAAGAACGCACGCCAAGTAAGCAGGAGAGGATAAGAATGTGTTAAAACATGCAGGAGTGGTTTTGTTTCACCTTACAATAGAAAGAAAAATCAACCAAAAAATTCAGTGTTTATAAATTCATATATTTAAGGTGCCGACTCAGAACATGGCACATATCCAGTTTCACAGATAAAACACGAGGAGCTTTTATTTATTTATAGGTAATACTGCAGTACAAGTCTTATTACATCAGAGTGTTATTACCTTAGAAGATAGCGAGAAGAAGCGAGATAGAGAGCTGCCAGGGACATGGTGTGAGCGACGGTTATGTTATCTCGCTGCTGAGTTCATCTCACTTTTTATGCTCTCTGCCAAGTCTGCCACCACGCCCTTTCAGAAACATTTGTAACTGGCTGGCCTTTAGCTAAATAAAATACCTGATTAATGGAAGCGAGAATGCCAAATCCAGTGAGCAGTCAAACCTGTTGGTGTGGTGGGTCGTGTGTGTAACTGTCTTCCATTTCTTGCCCATGTGTTTATGAAATACATGTCTGTATCCTGCCAAAACTCAGAGTTAACTGTCAACAAGCACACAGAGGACACTCAACAACACCCTCTTACTGCATTTTATTCATAAATCTTATATAAGCCTTTTTTAATTCGTTAGTGTCATATCTGTTGCTTCCACTGGTCTGTGCTGAGTTCTTGTGGCTGATCTTCCCACCATGCTTTCCACATGTGGGTGTGAAAGAGCAAAGAGGTCCCAGGATAGCCAAATATAAATATTAATTACTGCAGATCAAAATACCAGACTTCCTTTTGACTACAGTTGTCCTGACTGAACTGAAATAGACTTTTGTTGATGAAAAAGAAAAACTTTTTTGTGTGTTTGCTCCTGCTCCAGGTTATCGCTGTGGTGATGGACATGTTCACAGATATTGACATCTTCAGTGACCTCTTGGACGCAGCAGGACGACACGTTCCTGTTTATATTTTACTAGATCAGCTGGAGGCTCATCACTTTGTCTCTATGGTCCTCAACTGCAAAGTCAACCTGGAGTTTATTCCGGTCAGTTTGAATTTTATGATATTATCTGAAAACAACATTAAAAAGAAAAAGGCGCTAACAGCTGGGTCTTGTTATGTATTTGCTTATAATTATCAGATATGCATGTGTAACAGAGTTGAAATTCTGATTTTATAGATGATACGTGTCCGGACTGTGGCGGGAATACCTTATTACACCCGGACAGGGAAATCATTTAAGGGGCAGGTGAAAGATCGTTTCCTATTGGCTGACTGCAGAGCTGTACTCAGTGGGAACTACAGGTGACTAATTTAATAGTATTAATAACATCAGCACTCAGTTATCCTTTAAATAATCTTTGCCTCTACTGTTCTTTATGTTATAGTTTCATGTGGTCCTATGAGAAGATCCACCGCTGCATCGCCCACCTCTTCCTTGGGGAGCTTGTTGCCACCTTCGATGAAGAGTTTCGCATTCTGTACGCTCAGTCAGAGCCTCTGGTTATTGACCCAAACAATACAGCGCTTACTGTCTCTGATCCCAGCAGCACCGGCAACTATTTAGGCAGCCAGTTTGGATTAAAGAGGTCCCAGTCTTTGCGTAACACAGTAGGTTACCGAAGGCAGCCTGAGATTCCCCCTGCCTTCCCCTATGGTGACACTGATCGTAACCCCGTGCTTCCTTTCCGGAGAAATGACGCGTTTCGTCAAACCCTGGAGCCCGGGACAGGAATTACTATTGGAAAGTATTCACAGCAGCAGTTTCGTCTTCAGCAGTCATTCCTGGAACAGGGGCGGTCCATCGTGTCCAGGCAGATGGAGATGAGCGCCAGTGCCTTCAAGAGGCACAGCTATGCAGAAGGAACCCAGGAAACATACGCGTCTTCAAGACAGTTTATGCAGCAAAGAGTCATGAACAATCTGGACGAGACAGACTTCCACAGGTAGGAAAACCTTTAAAACCTCCTGCTGTGATCAGAATAATGCAGAATTATCACATGGACCATAAACATAAAATGTATGGTTTATTATTAAGTTATTAAACAATAAACAATATGTGCTGCACTTTCGTTACAGAGAACAGATTCAAAGCAGCCATTTTTACAGTGAAGGGCCCGGGCCAGGTTCTGGCCACGGACACTTCGACAGACTTCGAGGCCGTCCTCCGCACCTCTCCATTGACCAGTATTCAGACTCAAGTTATCGCTCAGACCAGGAGCCTCCACCTGGGCAGTATGGCAGAGACTACTTTTCATCTGAGGACCTGAGAGGACCCGAGGGCCACAACGCCCCTCCGTTAGCTGGGAGGTATGGAGGAGGATCCTCCCATAAGAGGCCAACCATAGGACAGGCGTATGCTTGTCAGAGCTCACCAACACACCCCCACCCACCTGAGAAGAAAAACTTTAACAAACAATTTGATCAAGAGCATGAGGAGGACTCAAGTGCAAAGCAAGGCCTGAGAAGCTGGAGAATCCACTCCTATCTAAATACTTATGAGGACACTGGAGAAGAAGGCCTGGCTCAGCCTATGGGTCCTGATGCTTTTGATGAACCTTCTCAAGCTGTGCAACCAACTGAAACTGAAAGTTCAGCTCCACGCTATGGAATAAAAGAGCCACCAAATGTTCCTCCCAAGCCCAGACCTGATATCCTGAGGCCACGTTTTGGAAAGCCTAAACTACCTGAGAGCAGCAATAAAGACTCTGGCCTACCAACGTCCAAGGATCTACTTCCTTCCCGCCTTGTACTGGACAGAAAAGAGAGGGAGGAGGAGAAGGAAAGAGAGCCAGAGAGGAGTAAAGCAAGGGAGGGGGGCACAGATGTGGAGGCGAAAGGTGCTCCAGAACTCCTTCTATCCAAACACGAGTCATTCCGGTCGCGTGTTAACCCGCTCCTTCAGCGCAGCTCTCGACTGCGCTCCTCACTTATATTCTCATCTTCTAAAGCAGAGATACACAGTGGTAGCTTAGGTCTAAAACCAGCGACGGAAGAGGATGAGGAGTTGGATTCAGTGCGCACTTCATCCATTGTGGCCCAGATCCTAGAAAAGAGGAGGTCATTAACTCGTGAGCCTTTTGATTGGCGAAGGAAGACCGAGGAGAAGAAGGAGAAAGAAGAAAAACAGGAGAAGCTAGAGGAAAAGGAGATACGGTTAAAAGATGAGATTAAACCTAAAGAGGAACCTAAAGAAACTAATGAAAAAGTAAAGACAACATTTACGCTTGAAAAACCTAAAGTCACAGATTCATCATCTCTGAACATGAATGATCCGGCCAGCCGTTTGCAGTACTTCAAAGACCTAGCTGCCAAGACAAAAGTCTCGAAAACAGAGACAGAGCCATCGCTAAAAGCCTTAGAGCCCGCTGAAAAAAGGCAAGATCTTTCTGATAAACCTCCCAACATTACAACAACTTTGAAGACCCCAGCTGTCACACTCAGTACAGCAGAGCCTGAGCAGACAAAGCCAGACGTCTCAGCAAAACTGGCTGAGATCAATAATCGCAGACCTTCAGTCAGTTCATCAAGGCCACCACTAATCTTTCCCAAGCCTTTTATAAGCTCACAGAAGCCTTCAGAGATAGTGCAGTCTCAGAAAGAGGAGAATGCATCAGAAGGTCAAAAGAAAGATCTATTCAAGTCTCTAAAGCCTCTGCATTCACCTAAGATCTTCAAGAAGGAGCCGGTGAAACTTAAAGGGATAAATCCTCGTCGCATCTCCTGTGGGGAGGAAATTTTGACCACAGATGCTACAGACGCAGAGAAGACTGAAATGAAAAAGAGTCGCTCTTACAGTTCTTCAACTCTGTCACATGAAGACTCTAAGGAAGGGCTGCAAAAGGTTATGGGCTCTACCACGTCCATCAATACCATTGGTGAGGGAAAGGGTGAGGGTAAGACACTCGACTTCCTAAAGAAACAGACTCAGAGGCTAAAGGGATTCCTGGGACCCAAGGACAAAGAAAAGAAAACCTCAGGAGAGGATAGGGGCATGAGCACGGTCATAGAGGTCACTGACAATTCGAGCAAAAAACAGAGCTCATCGTCTAAAGATACAGCGTCTACGACCGCTGATCAATCCACCACCAATCATAAAACATCAACAACCGGAACATCTGTCACGTCCCGATACCAGCCCGCAGGCGGCTCTGTTCTGTACAGCAGCAACTTACGAGACGACACCAAAGTCATTCTGGAGCAAATCTCCGCCAACAGCCAAAAGAACCGCCAGGAGCGGGAGGAGACGGGAGGGAACAAAGATGGAGATGCTGGAGATAAAGGAACGGAGAAACAGAGCTCCTTAAAAAGGAACCGATTTCTGCGACCGCAGGGCAACAACCAGGAGCGGGAGGGACTGCTGAGGAGGATAGAGAGCCTGAGGAAGGAGAAGAAGGTCTACAGCCGTTTTGAGGTAGTCTATCACAGTAAGGGAGATGTTTGCAGCGTAGATGGGAAAGCAATATGAGGAAAAACAACAACACAAAAATATGTTTAGGTGTAAACCACCAAGAGGGGAGGGAAAGGAATCCAAGAGGGAAACCAGGGTTTTAGCTTAAAAATGATATATTTTGAAATGTTTGAAAATAGTGTTTGTTCTCAAAAAGCAGCAGATGAATGTTATAAATTAGCTTCTGAGCAGTGACTGGCTAAATGTGATTATCTTATATGTACAGTAAGAGACTGGCAAAACCACAGTTCATCACTGTTATGGATTTTTATACTACTTTAAAGAGAATCTGCTTTCAGAAAAAATAATTAACAGATTAAGCTGAACAAATGCAAGCGTGATTATGGCGCAAAGAGCACGGTACGTCCTGCTGAAGGCCAGCGAGGAGGAAAGGCAGGAGGTAAAGAGATTTCACTGTTATCCCTGTTGTTCTGTTAACAGATGGGGAATAACCTGGGATAACGAAAGATGGAGGAGCGACCTTTTACACGGAAACTTATTTAATGCAAGACTATCAAAAAACCTCCACTGTCCACGTTTGTGCCAACGACACTGTAAGAGTTCCTCTGGGCCTTAACACTACAGCGTTTTCTGGATTTTTCCACAAGAAGTAATAAAACTTGAAAGGACGACTTATAAAATGGTGAAAACAAACTCAAGTCATTGAGTCTGGAATGTGCCTTTTTGCCAAGACCTTGTTCTATTTTTTTTGCCTTATATGGTGACTGAGAGAAACAAGACTCTACTTGGATACTGGCTTAATGGGCCGGTACGTGTCTCAAAAAAAAAGAAAGGTAGCACAGCTTTACCTGTAAATGAGCTTTTGTGAACAGGACTAAAAGACGAAAAGGGAAGTGTTGCATCTGAGAATCAAAAACATATAATGTGCCAGTCACAAAACACGGCACACGTGTAGTACCAGTGTTGTGTGCAGGCCACTTTGTAGCTGGAGCTTGCTTGAAACTGAATGGGAGAAAGTGTCTTTGTGGATTCACCATGTGCCAGTGGCCCATTGAGGGTTTTGCCAAGGTTCTGGTGGGGGGTCATTATTAGTAGTAGTATTAGTATTAACCTGGACAAATAACCAAAACATAGGAATAAAAAGACAGCTGATGAAGAGTAAAGGGTAGAGAAGAGTGAGATCAGAGGGTAGAGTCAGTGTGAAAAGTGTGGGAGGAAAAAACTGAATCAGAAGGTGAAAATGTTGGGGGACTACAGTTTGGATGGATGGTAGCGGCTGTGGTGAACGTAACACACTCGACTTCTTTCTAATAAGTCATATACCCACTTCTCAGGGTTGAAAATAAATAAATAACAATTCCTAGGAGACATAGACGCTTCCATGGAAAGGGGAGTGGTGTTTATGTGTGTTAGTGTTCGCCTCATGTAGCGTAAATAAATATGCAAGAATTTCTAGTTGGCCTGAATCAGAGTAAATGATAAAACAAAAAACTGACCTCCGTTTTCCTTCTGGAAAACCAAGAATTACCTCTACAAGAAGGTATACAAGAAAGAACAGGTATATTACACAGTACTGGAGCAGCGCCACGCTTCCTTACATAACTCATTTAACTCCTGAGAGCTACGCCCTGCACAGGATTCCTAACTCCTTTGTTGGTCGGCACAAACTATTAAACCAAAGACTTACCGGCCCCGTGCTGCCTGATATCTCGACAGGGCATCAAACCACTTACGGTTCACTGTGTTTTTGCTGAGTACGTCAAAAAAGATTAAAGTATATGTTGTATGGCTGTAAAGACACTTCTGGGTGAGGGTGGGGTGACACTTGTTTTCTACACAGGATTATGCTGTAAATGTTTATGTTAAAAAAAAGGGGGATTGTTTATATTTTAAGTGATGAACTAGATTGTGATCGCCCTCACTGCGCTCTGAACGTGCCTTGTGTTTATTTTGGATTATTTGAATTGAAATGTGAGAATGTGGTTTGTCTGTAAAATAGAAAAAAGAAGTAAAAAGAAAAAGCAATTGGCATTAATTCGGGGAAGTCATTGTTGCACAGGTTTAATGTGTTCTTTTTTAAACCTCAGATAGTATTACATTTTGTTTGAAATACTGCAACAAACTCTTCCATTAAATCTCTTTTAAAATTGAACGCGACTGTGTCTCTGTGCATATGTATGTATGTATTTGTATGTATGTATGTACACAGCAGGTGTGCATGTAAACTGCAGGGAAGGGTTGTGCTACTTTTAGGATTTCAGAGTGATGAAAACAATGTTACAACAATTCAAACAGGCTTTATAGTTTTTAAATATATGAACACAATAAATAGCCTAGTATCAAACAGATGACAGTATATAGCATGTCTCTATGTGAAAAACACTAAGAGATCAACCAGAATTTATCCGTACAGCAAATATATTATATGATATGAGAAAAAACATCAGAAATACCCAGAATTCTGTGGTCAGATATCTCAGCTGGATGTCAGGGGTATAAATAATCACTTAGTTTGCACCATTCCGGCTGATGAAGCTGACAAGACAGATGTGTAATCACAGCATATACCTCTGATTCTTTAAATCAGAGCAAATTTACTCCTGAGTCTCTGCAGCTGCTTCCTGAGCCTGCTTCTGGTTCTTCATCTTTTCCAGCTCCTCATCGAGGTTGTGCAGCTGAGTGAGCTTTAGCTTTTCTGTCAAAACACAGAAGAAATTCAGTGACAGTGCTGGAAAGTGAAAACAAAAGTGTATTCACACACATACAACATTTGTGCTGAGAGAAGAGTGTGCGGAGATGCTTACCAGCTGCCAACAGCTGGCTCTTTGTATTCTCAACACTCTTTAATTCATCTGGGAGTCTCTCTGGAGTCTGAGTAAAGTCATAATAATAATATAATAATAAAGTCACATTTGAATCTTCTCACAAGAGTTGTGGAAAGAATTTAGCACAAACACTTACAAAGACATAGTGCAGATTCTTGTGCTGGTCTATCAGTTGATGAAGCAGGTTTTCAAATCTCATCCTGCAGAAACATGAGTTTCTAAATGTGTAACAACAGCCAGAGGTTTTTCACAGAAAACGAGTCTTTGCACTATTAAACAGTACCGCAGTTTCCGGTGTTTAAGCTTGACATCCTGGATTTCATATCTATACTGCTCCAGCAGCTCCTCACTTTTCTTATTCAGTTGTAAATGTCTGAAACACACACACAGATACAAACACAAAATACAATAAAACTTAAAAAGATTAAAACTAATAAAAGATTTTCAAACAATAAATGTAATAAAAAGCAGATTCTAATCATAAATAAAAAACCATTATATCTGACTACCTGTTTACACTGACTGAATGTGGGAAGGTGCATCCTTTTCAGGTATTTAATTGAATAAATGGGCAGATTGTGGGCAATTAAACACAATTGAAAGAAGAAGCAAAAGCTAAGACAGCAGTATCGGGCTGTACAACATTATCTAACTATATAAAGATTCAACCCCAAATAAAATAAAAAATAAAATAAAAAAAGTATCCAGGATGCTAAAAAAGACAGATTACTGCCATCTAGTGTTCAACATCAAAAAACACAAATGAAGCCCAGTTCAGCAAAGAATGCTCCTTATGACTGAGCAGATCCAGTAAATCTCTTCAAACTTTCAGCACGGAGCTCACCTGGCAGCGTCCTGCTCAGACTCTTCACACTGAAACTGCAGCTTATTGCACACCTCTGAAGAAACAGACGAGCAACTATGTCCATCAGTGGGTTCACATTTAATGCCTGTACACTTATAAATGATGAACTATACGTGTACAACTGTTTGCCACTAGCACTTGCATACCTTCCTTTTCCTTGTGGATTGCCTCCAGTTGGAAGACTTTAGTTTGTACTGTGAATCAAGCACAGTATCTCAGTTGCTGGTTTAGTAAAGACTGTGTGAAGATCATTAACTTCGTGTCTTACAGTTTTCCAGCTCCTTCTCCAGTGAGTCACTGACTGACTTTGTCTTCTCAATTTCTTCTTCCAGGGCTCTTTTACCTTAAATTGAGAACAATGCCTTAGACACAGCACAACAACATTACATAACATAGGTTTCCCAACAAATAATACAAAGACAGGATGAACACTGCAAAATATTAAAATTACATTTCACAAGTTAATCAGAATGGCTCTTAAGGGGTGTTGCTGTTCCCCAAAAGAGGGAGATACTAATCATATCTCATAGCTCTCCATTCATCATTTTCTGCAACTCCATAAATGGAGTAACAGGTAAGGATATACCTCACTGAAGATACCCAACCATAGTTCACAGAGACATTATCAACAACACACATGCATGTTTTACTCACGGTTTTAAATTTCTGTGTAAATATTTAGCACTTACATTCTGCCTATAGCGCTATAAACAGCACGGATGTTATGTAAATTTGTAAAGAAATTGAGCTATATTCTATAATATTTCTGTTAAAGTAAACAAGGGAGCGCGTGTTCATTAGCATATCGCTATATACTGCGCTCTCATTGGTGCGCATAAATAACGTTTCTATCCCTCCGTAAAAAAAGTTGTTAACGTGTTTTTCACGTTGTACGCGTGTCTCATCACTTGAGGAAACATGAAAATGTCACAAATTCGCATGCTATCGCGATTTTTGTCTAATATAAGGAAAATTATACGGGGCTTGCTGCCGGAAGCGGAACATGTGACTACCTCCCATTTGGACAGAGACATATTATGAGCTGACAGACGGACTGGTTTGTACTAAACACATACTACTTAGTTACATGCTTAGTGCTCCTACAGATCAAGTGAATAAGCTCACTATTCGACAGATAAAAATGACGCCAACGGCGGATTTATTAGTTATCTACAGGCCTTTGTATAACGACACGCATGCGCGTCGCTATCGCAGGTCAACACGAGACGGAAAGACACGACAACGAGTTCGCTTGCTTTACACGAATCCTTTGATTAAGCCAAATTCACTGCAAACTCAGCAAAACCAGGCCCACAAGGCCTCTGATAAAACCCAGAGTCGTTTATCATTATTATTATTATTTATTATTATTAGTAGTAGTAGTATCATCATTACTATTATAGGCGAAACATTGTTCGTCTCCCTAAAAACTCGTCTGAAAAAACCGGGGAGAAAAGGATCACCGGCAGATGTCGCTATTTAGTCTGAACAGTCTTATATATCTGCATATATATTCATGCATATATATATATATCTGCCGTCCTGTTAAGTAATACATTTAGCAGCTATTCAAAAAACATCTGATAGAACAGATCAATCATATATTACCCTGTTTAAGCCTCCCGAGTTTTCCGATCAGCTGTTCAACCTTTGGCTCGTGCATTTGTCCACCTGAAGCGCACGGAACCGTATCAGGCTCGAGGTTTTGAAGTTTATCAGTGTGCAGTGAAACGTCAGCTGGTTTACCTCCTCTCAGAGGTTTCACATTAATCATGTCCTCGATGCTGAACCCTGTCACGTAATAAAGTGAAACGTTAGTCATGAAAACTTGTAATAACTTTACCTTTCTATAATATTCTTACTTACTCTGGTTATAATCTGGTAATAAGTACTAAATAAATAAATAGTTACTTTTATAAATCATCTTTAACCTGAGGTTAAATTTAAACAGGTAAGGTTTTCTGGCTAGTTTGAACACCTGTCCGATAGTTAGCCAAGTGGAAACGCTAGCTTAGTTTTAAGCTAGCCTAAATAAAGACTTATTTAGGCTAATATGAGAGCCTTTAATGTTTAAATTAAGATGATGGTAGAATATTTCACAAAGAGGTTATACTTAAGGGGTAAAATACTGAACATTTACTTTAAAACCTTTGGCAAATATGAAACCAACGGTCGTTTAGCTTTTTTTTTCCAGGTTATTTTTTAGATCAGTGTAAATTTCTCTCTCCAGCTTAATGTACATCGCTTTACCTTCGAAATCACTCATCTCTATCCTGACACCACCTTGTTTTCTTTAACTGACCACAAGAGCAACTGACAGCTTAACTGACGCGCGAAGTTTCTCCTCCTTGCTCCGCTCTCATAGGTGGGGCGGCAGCACGAGCCGCAGTACTGACGGGCGCGTGCACAGCACTGCATGATATTTAGCCCTTTTGCTTATTTATAGCGTAAAACTTAAGATTACAATAAATAAATCATAGCTGAAAAACAGGGTGGTATGTGCTTTACCTGGTAATTACAGTTTCACTATAAATGTTTTTAATTAGCATAAAGCAGGAGCAAGACATGTTCGTGTCCGAGTGCATAATTCATGTTTAAAATAATGTATTCAATTGTGACTGTTGGAATTTTTTCAATACCCCCCCAATGCAACTGTGTAAATAAACTGACCAAGAAGACCATTAAAAGGGTGATTATAATATGTCATCATTATTATGTACATAATACACTTATTTTTTAAAATAATTTTTATTATTTTAATTTTTGCTGAAATACTAAAAAAATGTCCTGAAATGTGATGTTTCTAGGATGTCAGGGTAGCACAAAGGTTTTTATTCATCAATTTTTTGAGTGAAGTTAACCAGAGCAATATGGAAGCGCCTTTCCACCACTGAAAAATGGATTTAATAAATTCACTGACTAAACGAAAGGGTAAAAAGAAAGAAAAAACAGAAAGAAAAAAACAGAAAGACCATTTCAGTAAAATTTGATTACTCAAAAATGTTTTCATTTTCTCACCATTTCCAGTACTAAGGCTCAGCTCTAATTTGTAAAGACTTTGTGATACCAACACTGAAATTTTAATATAACAAAATGTTTTTACTTCCAAAAGGCAAATCAAATTTGGTGTTTATATTTTCCTCCCTTTAGTGGCAGAACCAGTCTTCCACAGAGCCAACCTACTGCACTGGCTGTGCTTTGTTTTTTTTATTTAAAACAGAGAAGTGTTATTAATAAGGCCCAGAATTTTGTATTTCCTTTACGTGATCATTTTATCTCAACTGAAACACAAAAATCAACACACAGAGCTCAAACTTGTTAATCACTGTATCCATTTTAATGAAAAGCCAAACAGCTGTGTAGGGGGGTTTAGTTCAAGTTTGATTTGATGCAAATATACAATGCGAACAGACCTACAAAGCCCAAAACTTACTTTACCTATACATACCACTAAGGAGCTCT